AGTATGTCTTAACTGTATTAAGAGCTTTGAAGTTTTTTATAAATTATGCTTCAATGCATCCTGGTTTGCAAAACACTACAGCAATGAAAGCTGGCCAAAGGAACAGCACGCTGCAGCCCGTCCCACGTACACTGCACACGTACGAGGTAATAGAAAAAAAAGGCAACTTTATTGACAGTCACCCCAGAATTACATTTGTAACCCCACTTATTCTCTTTAGGCAGGCAACTGCTTTACCCGAGCAGCACAAAATGAGGCTTTGACTCTCTTCTTAATTCCAACATTTTTTTCTACTTAAGTCCACGGTTAACTGTTCTCTTTACAACATGTTTCTATAGCGACCAACTGCTAAATTGATACTCAATGTACTTCCCTTTCCACCTGCTTTACTTCAGACTTGGAAACTCAAAATGTTGTTTAGACAACGTTCCAAAAACTAAGTCTTGAGCTGTAGTAGGATGTTATGGTAGACTACTTCATGACCCTAACTTCCCCAGCCCTTGAAATAAAACAAAACCAAATAAACCCAGTATTTCCAGATGAAAGCAAAATTCTTCATGGCTCACTAACAATTACTTGAAAAGCTAATACGTAAAGGACCAGGAAGAAATTAATTTCCAGTATCTTAGAGAAGTATCAGACTCCTCCTTTCAGGCAAGCATTTAATTCCTTCAGCAGCTTTTTGACTGTTTATTGTGCCTTGGCTACGTTAACCGCACTTGCCTCGAGTGCAGCAGCCTTCCTAGAGAATAACCACCAAGATACACTTCACATGCGGGTAAAGCACCGTGTTCCCAGAATGAGACAGGGGAGCACATTTTATACAAGTAGCTAATATAGCAATGAATTATCCTCCTGAGATAAAAACTAAAAATATCAACAGGTGAATACAGTAGGTTGAAATAAAAAAAAATTAAAAAGGGACTGATCTGGTTCAAGTTTTACATATGCAAACAAACAGTATGAGAGGGGAAACACAGAGTGAGCCATGTGAAGTAATGAGCGGAAAGATCAGGCATATCTATCTTCCCAGAGGCTGGAAGAAGGAAGATATTAAACTGTGCTTTCTGGTAACTTGCCACTGCCAGTTATTGACAAAGTTGTCAATTATAGAGGATTATTTAGACTGATGATACCTTAAGAAATGGGGATTTAGAAACACCTGGGACTAAAAGGAAAGATAGGAATGACCTGCAGATGATAAACGGAGTTGACTGAAAGTAAAAGAGCAAAGAGGCCAGCTTCAGAGGGTATAATTAAATATCCTTAATTAGCATATTAGAGTACTGCAATGAAACCACATACCCACTTTCAAAGTCGGATTTTAGAAAATAAATGTAACCGAGTGGATGAAAGACCAAGAATGTTCTATGCCATGAGACTGCTTGGCACAGAATTTCTTCAGGTAACTTCTATTTTGCTAATGTTTAAATAACTTCATTATATTTAAAAAATGCACTGACTGCCCAGGTCTGTAAGCAGTAAGAGATTAAATCAACGTTAGACAGATTTTACTGAAATTGGTCAGACAATGCAATAGGAAGAGGACAGTGCTTGAGTCAATAGTAGCATTTCAAGTAGTTGAGTAATCATGTAACTTAATGTACATAGATAAAGCCGGGACCAACAAGCAAAAGGAGGGTAGCAACCGTCACCACAATGTTTTTAAACTGGTCTAGGAGTAAGAGTTAAGTTTTATTTTGAGACAGGGGATGTGAAAAGTGTTTTGGAATTCTTGGAAGAAGCCTCCGTTCTATTAAAAACATACTCTGTTGAAGAGTCAGGATATTTGCTACCACAATTTTCTGAATAGAATGAAAGATATGTCACTGTGTTCATGAAGAGATAGTTGACTCTTAATAGAGTTATTATCACTAGCAGGTTTCCAATACAAGATTTGACAGAGCTAGGCCTAAATCACAGTTTTGGCATTGACTCGTTTGGTCACACAAGCTGCTTGACTCTTTTGTACTTCGCTGTTGATATACAACCGATCAGCAATTCCTGCCTCCCAGACATTTTACCAGGATTCATGTATCCGCAACCAAGATCTTATGGATACAATTGGAAGACTGCATGAAAAACACTGATATAAGAGGCTCTCAGATATTAGATATGGCAACACGCCAGTGTTATTTATACTACCCTTCTAAAATAATTTTGGCTACTCATATTAAATAAATTCTCTATTCCCAGCACATAAAGGCTTTATTTGCCACACTGTTAGGTAGTCCACTGTTTTGACCTGAACTGAGATGGGCACCACTACCAGGAGAACTTAATTTCATCCCTCTGCTTTGATTGCTACTGTGGCTTACATCTGCTGTGGCTTTTTTTACACAATCACTGAGGCCTCAACTAAGTAATGTCTCGAGCAACAGAAGCTAGGGCTTCAATACATGCCATCGATAATATTTCTGCTTCCTAAGAAACAATGCAAAAAACCAGCCAACTGCAACAAGTTTTGCAAAAAAATACCGTATGATGACTGAATTGCATAGATTAGTCTTAAATGCCATATTACAATCCAGATGAAAGAAAAAGTACTTGGCTTGGCCAAACACAAAATCAGTATTATATACCTGGCTCACCTCTCCCTACACACAAACTTGTAAATGAAAAAAAACCAGAAAACAACAACAACAAAAAAACAAAACAGAAATGCAATAGGAAGGAGGGCCCAGTGGTTGTTTTCCCAAGGACTAACAAACTTCCTAGCTGAACAGTACTTGTCTTCTGATTGACAAGTGATGACTACGACAATATGCCTGGCTCACATTACATGGAAATGACAACACAATACACTGAAGGCACCATATTTTTTTTCTTCAAGTTACTTTCACTGATTAGGAAGAAAAGATGCAGAATGCCATCTGAAGGCTTTTAGGAAAGATGAAACCACTGAAGCAGAAGCTAGCAAAGACTGGGCCGAACATGCTGACAAAACAGAGGGAACTGAATGATTAAACTGGCTACTGTTGTACATAATCATCAATGAAGACCAGTGTACTTCAGAGACTGTACCTGCCTACCCAGCTCCTCCCTCCATCTGGGTCTGAAGCCATTGGGAAGTGTAACACATTATTTCAATATAGGATATAATATTTATCACGTAACACATGGTATTAGCTTCTAAAGAAATCTTTTTAATGGCTGTTGCAGCATCCAACTCAGAATACAACATAAATGCAGGATTCCTCAGTCTTTGGATTGCTGTTTTCTACTCACAATAAAAAGAAGTTTAGGAAATAAGAAAAAAAACCCACAACAAAACATGAACACTTCACTTTGGCTTGCCTTGCCTTAATTTTTCTGCAAGACATGATACCCCTCTGCTGGGCAAGAACAGATGCAACAGCAAGGAGCCGTCAACCAGAACTCACCGAACACTAAAACAAAACCAGCCTGTACAGACTGAAAAGGATAATTAAGGAAAGGCAACCGAGGCAATGTGTGGCTGACCAAATGCCTGAGAAAATAAGGAGCCCAGATGCAAACCATTCAGCAAACAGCATTCACAATTTAGACTTAGTTCTCCAAACGCTGTCCAAAACAAGAAAGTAATATTTTTTCGTAACATCTTTAAAATGAGTCACCTTGAAGGCACTGTCATCCTGACAAGCTCCAGTTCTCTAACTCTAAAAATAATTGTTGCGATATTTAGGATAACAGGCAGCACAAAGAACTTCCTAAAGAAAAATATTTTTGTCCATGAAAGCTACATTATGAGCTATGAAGTCTGCACTGCAAGAAGCTGGTAAAGAAATTTAGCTGTAACTTTTGCATTTGTAACATGGTTTTCCCAGAAAAGGTATGACAAACCTTAAGCAAACCTTCAGAAGAGTTTTTCTTTTTTACTTTAGGCATTAAATTTTTTTTTATATATATATATATATTTAAATATGACAACCATAGTAAAGATAGGACAATTTCAGCCATCAGCAGTGAAGCAGATGGAAAACCAAACTCCTACCAGAGACATGTGCTATACCACATACATTTTTGGGAAATACTAGTTAAATCTTATTCTGACCTCCCAAGCATGATAAAGGAAGTTAAGCCTTCCTCTCATTAGCCCTGACACTGGAGTAGAGTTGCACATTTTGTTTCAGACTTCTTGTTGTGTTCTACAAATGACTCTGCTCAGTTCTCTATGGGCTGGAATATTAGTCATTTTCAAACCAAGGGTAATCCCTGTTTAAAAATAACATTCTGATTAGTGACTTCTAGGAAACAATTTTCTTTTGTTAAAAATGTAAACACAAAACAAAGTTCGATTATACTTTTTGCCCCTTTTATTAAAAACAGTCATTACACTTGACACACATTCGGCAAAGACACGATTGTATATCTCTACTTTTCAGGAAACTAATTACAGACTATTACAAAGTGACACTGTTAAGTTCTGGGTCAGTTTTTCATAGGGCAAATTTCTGGTTTTGTTTCAGTTCTTCAGGTGATTCTGCTTTTAGCTTGCCTGTGTGATCAACAACAGTGTATTGGCTTCAAATACCTTTATTTTGGATTTACATATGTGCCCATAGTGGAAAACTGCACCCAGTACCTGGCGCTAGTTATGGAAGAGAATGTTCTACTAGGATCTTTACCACCCAGACAGACTCATCCTTTTGTACCACTTTCCACACTGAAGCCTGTCACTCAAGACTTTCATGTTGTTAACCAAAGTCTGTTTCCCTAAGAAACAAGTTTTCTAAACCTGGTTTAGAGATCATGAAAAAAGGAGAAATCTTACAAACTCTCCAGAGAGCAAAAAAGTCTGTAGTGACAGAAGCAGATACAGAGCCTCAGTAAAGACAAGTTTTTCTAACCAAAGCTACACAAAAACTTCATCTATAGTAATAAGGGAGAGGGCAGGGGGTGGGGAAGAAGTATCTTTCCCTAGTAATTACCCACATTCTCAGCAGGACTAGATTCACATAAGAAAGAGTGACAGTCCATTTACCAAGATGCATTGTCCCATTTCCTGCTCTCGTTTTAGGTCAGCTGGAAGCTTCTTTTTTCAGTTTTTCTAAAATCTCATCTGGTGTCATCGATATCAAAATCTTCACCACTTTTTCACGTGATTTACCACCCTGGTTTAAACACATACACACACACAAAAAAAAAATCTTTCAGATAATCACCACTAAATACACATTCCAAAAAAATCTCACTGTAATGCCAACAAAATAACTAAAAAAATTTCTTAAAGTGTGGGTATGCAAAATTAACAGCAGTAAGAGACAATTCATCAGTGTTCTTTCTAGTTATTTGAAAGGTGGAAAACAATGTCTTATCTACACACCTTTTAAAATTGGATATAGCTCCTAGAGCATGCCATAATTGATGCTCTTTTTATAGGCTAGAACAAAAAGCAAGGAGTGAAAAGTTTCCATAATTCACTTGTATCGTCTAGAAGCAAGACTCGACAACTAATTTGCATTTGTTTTTTAAAAGTAGGTGTATATGTATGTATATTTGATAACTGTACTTTCAGACTCTTAAGCTGAGTTCTCAGGTTGATAATATCAACTACATGAAAAGAACTCACATCATAAATAACCTATAAAACATTCAGACTCACACAGCAGTTACTTGAAGTATTACTGACCTGGTTTTGTATTACTAAAAAAAAAAAAAAAAAGAGACTATTTTACATAGAAACTGGCAAACCTACAGCTTCATTTCATGTTGCCTGAAGTCACAACTTTGCTAGTATTTAGTAAACCATGAGAAACAAGTTGCTTTTTAATTTGCAGCCTGGCAAAGTTTGAAAAGCCCATAAATGACATCCTGAAGGAGAAAAAAGTCCTTAACTCTACTATACAGAAATATAGCATAAAATTTAGAATTAAAAATAGATTTTTGAAGTAGTTTGGCCAGCTGATGATGAAAATCAAGGCCCTTGCATACAAATCTGGTAACCCCAGTTTTATACTGGATCACTGCCCACCAATTTCACAATTTGGATTGGTTTTGTTAATGTTAACACTTATCATAATGCAAGTAGCACATAAGAGAGCAACCAGTAAAAATCACTTACAGCTTACACCTAGCAGATCAGGATGGAAAAATCTAAGCCACAGGTAAAATACAGACTTTACCACAATGCTTCACTGAGAACAAACAGTGGCTTGTGAAAAACAAACACTAGCATGTAATTAATTGGACATTAGCTCAGAACAACTGAGTCAAGAAGGTGAGGACACCGGCCTCTTTTATATTCAACTCTGCTTAGCACTTATAAGAATAATCTAATTAAACCTGAGCATCCCTTTAAGGTAGAAAAACAGTGTTATCTGTAAAATGTTGATAATCAAATGAAGCAGTCTGCTCATGATTCAGGAAAAACAAGACTCAAATCTTCACATCTCTACCCTTCAGCAACACAGTGCTTAATTCATTGATCATGTTGCTATTTACCACTATCGTTTAACAGACCTCTAAAACTTGTACAATAAACCAACAGACAAAAATAAAAAGCACAATTTTTCATTGTGCTCTTATGTTCATAAACTGTAAATTAACATGTCTGGAAAGACTAAGTACAATGAATTAATAAAACAAATTATTTATTCAGTGCCATGGATAAAACAGAGAGTTTCCACTTGCCAAACTCAAGACATGTAAATTTTAATGCAAAGAAACTCTTGAGGCCCAGCTATAATCCAAGTGCTTATATACGCTCTTGCTTATGTGTGACCATTAATTGTCAGAAAATTTTCCCTCAAATACAGAAGTCACTTTAAAAAAATTATTAATAAAATGCACATTCTCTGGAAAGCACAAATTTTGTGAACTGCAGGTGAGACAAAAACAGGAAAATCTTTGAAGAACACAGAGAACACGAACCACACAAATTTGGAAAATATATAATGATGAGAACTATCCTGATTAAAGATCTCAAAATCAGCATGGTTCTTCCTGCACTAGGTTAGTTCTCAATGAGTCATTCCATTAACTCCACTAAACACCCTGGAAGTGTTTTTTGGAATGAACTTGGGAGAGCAGCTCCCTGTACTCAATGAGTAAGTTTCAAAGTCTTGAATTTAAATTGCAGTAGGGCAAGACTGAAAGAAAAAAAAAAAAAGGAAGTACCTTCTCTAAAATAACTTCACTCTTCTTCACTTCTAGCACCTTAGAGAGGTAGCGACACAGCTCTGCATTTGCCTCCCCTTCTGACGGAGGTGCAGCAATAGCTACACCTACCGCCTCAGCTGTCACATCTATAACAAATATTTTAAGGATTTTATGCTCAAAATATTCAAAACATCTAGTTATTGTCTCCTAAAAATGAATGTTTATGCTTTCAGAAGCATTTTAATTTAAAACAAATAAACTTCTAGATTAGCAGGTAACAACATTTTTACACTTCACAGATTCCCTTAAATTAAAGCTGTTAGCCACTGCAAATACAGATAATTTTCTGATGCAAAGAACAGTGAAGCCCTCAGACCTGTGTCAGAGCGCAGCCACGAGTCATCCGTTTTCACACAAGCAGGCACTGTTCTAAGCCCCTCTCTCTGCTGCAGGAGCGGTCCAGCTTGGCATCACGTAGCGTAACATAAATCAGGTTACCCCACCAAAAAAAAACCCATGATAAATAAGTCTGTCCAGAGAGCTACGCTATCATCAGCGCCTTCCTGGTGCTGCCAGCTGAGCCTGGATACTCTGCTACAGTCCACCATGTTGGTCTCTCACACACCTCTATAAAAACCAGTTCTAATTTGTACATAAGCAAGGCCAGATTGGTAGAGGGAGAACGCATTTTATTAGACCAAACTTTTAATAGTTCAAAGAAACCCGCACAACGTCTTGGGATGCAAACAGCCCGCACAAAATGACAGACGTCAAACTGAAGCGCTGACCGAGTGCATTTGCTGCCATTCCTTTCAAACAGAACTTGTTCAGAAGAATTTACACGGCGCTCGCTGCACCACCCAGCGCTACCCCCGGCTCCTCCGAAGTGTTAAACTATTACTTTCTTCAGCTTTCTGATTATTTTGGTTTTTCTTTCCAGCTTAGGGGATAGAGAAAAGCTGTAGAATTCGTTAGACGACTAGTTCGGAAAAACAGCTTTCCCGCCCCGCTCCCAGGCGCCGGCGGTTACTCCCAGGGCGGGAGGGGCCACCCCCATCAGAAAGGGGCGGCCGAAGCACCTCGCACCCCGCT